AGACATGGTTTGATGTGGAGGAACTTGAGTGTCCTGACCTCAACCCTATTTTTGGAAGACCTTTGGTATAAGGTCTTCTCATCACCACCTGCCCAACCAAATGCCTTTCGGATGAGGTCTTCTTGGCCCAAAGGTGTGTAGTAGGTGTGAGGTCATGGAGGAACCTGAGTGTCCTGCACACAGCCCTGACCTCAACACTACTGAACACATTTAGGATGAATTGAATTACCAATTGCAAGCCAAGGTCATCTTGTGACCTTGATGACCTCAACTTGAATGCTCTTTTGGTGAATGAGCACATTCCTTGACCCTGGGTTTTCTTTCACTCTCAGTGATAATGGTAAACAGGACAAATGGAGAGGATGAATCTCCCAAACGGGGACACAGGCAGCAATAAAAACCTGACATTGGTTCTAATCCCTCTCCACCCCATTCAACACGAAGAAAAAAAAAAAAAAAAGTTTGGCCTTTATTTACACTTTAACGACTCTATAATATTCAGCTGTAACTGTGACGTAAACCAGCCATTCTGGATGTAAAATTGGCCTGATGGTCAACTGAATGATCTGCTGGGTTTTGCCTCATACCCAAAAAAAAGTAAAGACTTAAAGGGTAACTCCACTTTCGTGGTAAAAAAGTAGCAAACACAAGTCAAACTGTGATTGAATGCAATGAAAAAAAACGACCTTTTCTTTTCAATCTGCAGCCGCTGCGACTTTCTGTAAAATGCAATATGGCCGCCTGGAGGCATTGTGTACACACAGATGGTATATGGACCGCCACCCAGAAATGTCATTTCCTGCTTCTGTGATTGGCTCCCTGATTTTCCCAGAAGTCTGCACTAAGATACAAGCCAGATTTTGAGCATGCCCTGCAACATAAATTTCATTTTTTGGTGAGATCCTCCTAAAGGGGAATCAGGTCTAAAGGGATGCAGACCCTGACACTTTCCTCAGAGCCCTGCAGTGCCCGTCACTCCCGTTCACCTTCACTCTGCGCATGGACATAGGGAAACAAACAGCTATTTCTTCAGAATAATAGAAGGTAGGAATCTGCAACAAAGTTTGTTACAATCCCTGCAATGTGGATAGATCACCCTGGGGGGAGGGTTATTTTCTCAGCAAAAGCAGAATTACTCTGGGATGGGAGTGAGACGTAGAAATACCTTCTACTTTCCAAGGCTCTACTAGCCTGTCTTGGGTTTGATTCCTGCATGCTGTAAAGTAACACTATGGCTATGGGGGTGGCAACTCCATAATGGCCATGGTTTTGGAATAGATGTCCAACAAGCTCATGTAGGTGAAATGGGTGGAGGAACTCCAGTGTCCATCAGAGAGCCCTGACCTCAACCCTACTGAACATTTTGGGATGTAATGCCAATGGTGAGGTACGTCTTCTCTTCTCATCCAACTTACTGTAAGTACAAATCGGCACAAAATTCCCACACACACCCTCCAAATACTTGTGGAGAGTCTTCCCAGACGAATGGAGGATGTTACAGCCAAAGGGTAGGGGCATCTCCATAAAGACATGGTTTGCCCAGTTTGGTGTGGAGGAACTTGAGTGTCCTGCACAGAGTCCTGACCTCAACCCTACTGGAAACCTATGGGATGTAACACCAAGTACAAATGGGCACAAATTTCCACAGATACCCTCCAAATACTTGTGGAGAGTCTTCCCAGAAGAGTGGAGGGTGTTACAGCTAAAGGGTAGGGGCAACTCCATAAAAACAACATGGTTTGCTCAACCCTACTGGACACCTTTGGGATGTAACACCAATGGTGAGGTAGGTCTTCTCCTCCGGACATACTGTAAGTATAGAGGAACTCCAGTGTCCATCACAGAGCCCTGACCTCAACCCTTCTGAACACCTTTGGGATGTAACGCCAATGGTGAGGTAGGTCTTCTCTTCCAACATAAGTACAAATCGGCACAAATTTCCACAGATACCCTCCAAATACTTGTGCAGAGTCTTCCCAGAAGAGTGGAGGGTGTTACAGCCAAAGGGTAGGGGCAACTCCATAAAGACATGGTTTGCTCAACCCTACTGGACACTTTTGGGATGTAACACCAATGGTGAGGTAGGTCTTCTCCTCCGAACATACTGTAAGTATAGAGGAACTCCGGTGTCCATCACAGAGCTCTGACCTCAACCCTTCTGAACACCTTTGGGATGCAACGCCAATGGTGAGGTAGGTCTTCTCATCCAACAAAAGTACAAATGGGCACAAATTTCTCACAGATACCCTCCAAATACTTGTGAAGAGTCTTCCCAGAAGAGTGGAGGATGGTAGGGCCAACTTCATAAAGACATGGTTTGACCAGTTTGATGTGGAGGAACTTGAGTGTCCTGCACAGAGCCCTGAACACAACCCTATTTTTGGAAGACCTTTGGTAGGGTCAAGGGTAGGTACTGATGAGAAGACCTTATACCAAATGCCTTTCGGATGAGGTCTTCTTAGCCCAAAAGGTGTGTAGTAGGTGTGAGGTCATGGAGGAACCTCAGTGTCCTGCACAGAGCCCTGACCTCAACCCTACTGGACACCTTTGGGATGTAACACCAATGGTGAGGTAGGTCTTCTCCTCCGAACATACTGTAAGTATAGAGGAACTCCGGTGTCCATCACAGAGCTCTGACCTCAACCCTTCTGAACACCTTTGGGATGTAACGCCAATGGTGAGGTAGGTCTTCTCTTCCAACATAAGTACAAATCGGCACAAATTTCCACAGATACCCTCCAAATACTTGTGGAGAGTCTTCCCAGAAGAGTGGAGGGTGTTACAGCCAAAGGGTAGGGGCAACTCCATAAAGACATGGTTTGCTCAACCCTACTGGACACCTTTGGGATGTAACACCAATGGTGAGGTAGGTCTTCTCATCCAACAAAAGTACAAATGGGCACAAATTCTCACAGATACCCTCCAAATACTTGTGAAGAGTCTTCCCAGAAGAGTGGAGGATGGTAGGGCCAACTTCATAAAGACATGGTTTGACCAGTTTGATGTGGAGGAACTTGAGTGTCCTGCACAGAGCCCTGAACACAACCCTATTTTTGGAAGACCTTTGGTAGGGTCAAGGGTAGGTACTGATGAGAAGACCTTATACCAAATGCCTTTCGGATGAGGTCTTCTTAGCCCAAAAGGTGTGTAGTAGGTGTGAGGTCATGGAGGAACCTGAGTGTCCTGCACAGAGCCCTGACCTCAACCCTACTGGACACCTTTGGGATGTAACACCAATGGTGAGGTAGGTCTTCTCCTCCGAACATACTGTAAGTATAGAGGAACTCCAGTGTCCATCACAGAGCCCTGACCTAAACCCTTCTGAACACCTTTGGGATGTAACGCCAATGGTGAGGTAGGTCTTCTCATCCAACATAAGTACAAATCGGCACAAATTGCCACAGATACCCTCCAAATACTTGTGGAGAGTCTTCCCAGAAGACAGCCAAAGGGTAGGGGAAACTCCATAAAGACATGGTGTGCTCAGTTTGGTGTGCCCACTTGAGTGTCCTGCACACAGTCCTGACCTCAACCCAACTGGAAACCTTTGGGATGTAATGCCAAGAACAAATCAGCACAAATTCCCACAGATACCCTCCAAATGCTTGTGGAGAGTCTTCCCAGAAGAGTGGAGGGTGTTACAGCCAAAGGGTAGGGGCAACTCCATAAAGACATGGTTTGCCCAGTTTGTGCAGGAAACTCAAGTTCCTCCACACCAGAGTCCTGACCTCAACCCTACTGGACACCTTTGGGATGAACCGAATTACCAATTGCAAGTCAAGGTCATCTTATTCAATACCGTGACCTCAACTTGAATGTTCTTTTGCACAGAGGCCTGACCCGAACCCTTCTAAACACCTTTGGAATGAATTGGAACACCGATGGTGAGCCAGGTCTCAACATCAGCACCTGACCTTAGAAATGGGCACAGATTCCCACAGACACCCTCCAAAATCTTGGAAGCCTTCCCCAAAGAGTGGAGGATGGTATAGCAACAAAGAAGGGGGCAACTCCATATCAATGGCCATGGGATGTCCAACAAGCTCCTACTGATATGATGGTCAGGGGTAACATATGACTATAAATCATACCTTCTGATTAAAGGCTCTACTAAGCATCACGCTGGTTAAGTGGGGGGAACGACTCTTTAATTTTTTGGATTTGTGATGGAAGCGAATCGTGGAAATACCTTCCGCTTTCCGAGGTTCTACTGCCCTGTCTTGGGTTCGATTCCTTCACGCTGTAAGGTAACACCATCCTGCAATACACTCTATTTACAGGGAGATCTGCAAACAACCGAACCAACTATGAGCACCATCGATGAAAGCCCCGATCTCATGGGAATTGTCGAGGTATATTTGCAATGCATTAGCAAACAGCGCCGTGTCCAAACAAGATGGTATTTATACAGGAGGCCATTGTCTATAATAATCAGGTGTGGATACATTCTAGTCGACTTCCGGAACTGGGTGACTCCTACCCGAATGCTGGCTGCCCTTATAAACCGAATTATAGGCCTTCCCTACCTGCCCACAACGTACAATAAATGTGCATATTCAGCATTCTTCCTCTAAAATGAGGCCAGTTTATATTTTACAGGAGGTGGAAAAACAGGTCAACGGCTCCCAGCAAACAATCCGAAAGTATAATTGAACCCTACGTAGAAATGTCGCTTGTCCGTACTTTTCTGAATCAGAGGCTGCACCCCGTGTTTTTTCCTGTAGCGCTACCCCCCGTAGGAGCTGCTTCAATTAAAAGGTTCCCCCCCCCCCCCCCCCAACAGTGCAGGGCAGCCAGGCACACAGCGATCATCCATTGATTCCAACTCATTGAACAGTCCAGGGGGTTGTCTTTTTGAAGTTCATTTGCTAGTAGAAGCAAATGGGAGGGGCTTGGGGGGGGGGGGGGTGATGCGGGATACTCCAAAATGGAACGTATTGCTAGTAGATGATACTTCTTGCTGATTAGTTGTAGCACTAGCAGGGGCGGACTAACAACTCATGGGGCCCCCAGGCAATAGGGGATCATGGGGCCCCTGTGTCCTTGCCCAAACTCAAAAAAGCCTATGAAAAAGGTACCAGGGGCATCTCATGAGGCCCCCTACTGACCCCGGGCCCTCGGGCAGTGCCCAAGTTTCCAAATGGTCAGTCTGTCCCTGAGCACTAGTAGAGCTAGACAGGAACAGTCCATAGTTCACAGCTGAGGACCATGGAGTAGTATGAGCACAAGTGAAGTCAGACTGGAACGGTCCAGGATGGGAATAGTCCATGAGCACAGTGAAGGCAGACAGAAACAGTCCATGGTTCATGGTTGGAGACCATGAAGTAGTGTGAGCCCAAGTAAAGGCAGGATGGGAATAGTCCACAGTTAACAGCTGGGGACCATGGATTAGTATGAGCCCAGGTGAAGGCAGACAGAAACAGTCCATGGTTCACGGTTGGGACCATGAGGTAGTAGTGAACACAGGTGAAGGCAGACAGGAACAGTCCACGGTTCACAGCTAGGGACCATGAAGTACTATGAGCACAGGTGGAGGCAGACTGAAACAGTCCACAGTTCATGGTTGTGGACCATGGAGTACTATGAGCACAGGTGGAGGCAGACTGGAGCAGTCCATGGTTCACAGCTAGGGACCATGGAGTGGTATGAGCACAGGTGGAGGCAGACTGGAACCGTCCATGGTTCACGGCTGGGGACCATGAGGTAGTATGAACACAGGTGGAGGCAGACAGGAACAGTCCACGGTTCATGGTTGGAGACCATGAAGTAGTATGAACACAGTGGAGGCAGACTGGAACAGCACAGAAGTAGTATGAACACAGGTGGAGGCAGACTGGAACAGTCCACGGTTCATGGTTGGAGACCATGAAGTAGTACAAGCACAGGTGGAGGCAGACTGGAACAGTCCACGGTTCACAGCTAGGGACCATGAAGTAGTACGAGCACAAGGAAATTTACCTAGCAGCCGAACTAGGTTCACAGCTAGGGACCATGAAGTGTACCACATCTCTAGGTCTCTCCTTTGTCTCCCAGAGTCAGGTTATAGCTGGCTATAGCCCACTGTCAGCTGATGAGGCAGGGGTGCTCCAAGCTCTGGAATGATCCCGACAATATTGTTGAGATTCACCCAGCTGCCTGATTGACAGCTGGCTCCGTCTGTGCAGCCGCAGCACCCCCTCATCTCCTCCTCCCCTGGTCTCAGCATTCAGCAGACTCCAGCAGCTGACTCAGCCCTCCTCTGGTCCTCCTCCAGACCCTGCACATTCTGCCCCCAGCTTCTTCCCATCAGCAGCACAAAGTAAGGGGGGGGCACACTGTGATGTAAGGGAGGGTGGGTGACTTTTGACTTCTGATGGTGGGGTGCTCTGGACATCTAATCTAACAGATACAACTGGACCTTTTAGAGCAACCATAATGCTGATGCGACCCACGGTGAAATTGAGTTTGATTTCCCTTCATCCTACTCTGATCTGCAGACTGGAAAAGCTACAACTGTATAATGTTGGGTTGATCCAGGGGTGTAGCTACAGGGGTCACAGGGGTTGCAATTGCAACTCCCCCCCACAACATGCTGCAGGGGGGCCCTGCTGCTCCCCTGCAGGGTTACCAATCATCACAGTTTTAAACTTTTTACTTAATCCATTACTGAAAAAAACTACTGACATCAGTGGTGGAACTACCAGGGTCACAAAGGTCGCACTTGCAGCTGCCACCAGGCATTCAGGGGGTCAGGGGGCCCCTTCATGGTTTCTTGCACCAGGGCCCTGAAGGTTCTAGTTATGCCTCCGGGTTGATCATTCAGCTGGCTGTTGTGAGTCAGCTGACATATTGCGCCTAACGATGACGAGATTGATAGCTACACGTGAGGTTTCAAACATTTCTTCAGACTGAAGGTCACAATAAAAAAAATATTCAACCAAGAGATACCAGCAACACTTTCTGAGATATGAAAGTTAACCTTTTTCAAAGTTCACAGTTCTACCGCGTGCCGGCTTAAAGGAACTCTTCCCTTTGACCGTGTATACAGAAACCGCTGCCAAATATCAACATGTAAACAACACATGACAAGATCAATGAGTACAAACCCTCCCCCAAGATCCAGTTACTCCTCCTACTGAGCAGCGCCATCTTCCTTCTCAGGAAGTGTGGAGAAGAGGGAGCCTGGCCACCAATCATCTTAAATACGCCTCTGCTGTACCCGGGACAGTCACTTGACACCGATATTGGGGGAGGGGGGGGGTTGTTAGAGATAGAGAGGAGCACCTAGTGGTTGACTTTTTACAAAAAGTCAACATTTGCATATCATTGACAGCAGAAAAGAAGGAAAAAAAAGGAGTGCTTTTTGAAACAACATTATGAAGGTAGGACTATGCTTACACAATATGGCCAAAGATTTGAGGATACCTGAGCTCAGGTTGTCTCAGGTGGGCCGAGTTCAGGTGTCTCCGGTGAAGGTTTATGGAGAACACCCCACCCCACCCCATCTCCTGTCCTTCAAGATAATGAATGTGCTGGAACAGCTAACGATTTGTTAATAATAATAAGCCAAGGTCACCCTTAGAAAACAAGCATTCACCCTCTGTGACCAAATGTATTTGGACACCATACACCCCCCCTCCCTCCAAGTGATGGAGTTCAGGTGTCTCCAGTGAAGGGTCCTGGTAATCCTCCATCATACAAAGACATTGGAGACAATTGTGCTCTTCCTGCCTTGTGGTAACAGTTTGGTGAAGACCCTTTTCTGTCCCCCCCATGACTGTCCCCCGTGTACAAAGCCAGTGACATAAAGACATGGATGACCAGTTTGGTGAAGACCCTTTTCTGTTCCACCATGACTGTCCCCCGTGTACAAAGCCAGCTCCATAAAGACATGGAGGACCAGTTTGGTGAAGACCCTTTTCTGTCCCCCCATGACTGATCCCCGTGTACAAACCCCCGTGTACAAAGCCAGCTCCATAAAGACATGGATGACCAGTTTGGTGTGGAGGAACTCAAAGTGTCCTGTACAGAGCCCTGACCTCCACTCTGGGTGAGAAGGCCTTATACCAAAGGTCTTCCAAAAGTAATGGCAGTACCTGCCCTTAACCCTACAGAAAACCTCTGGTATGAGGTCTTCTCACCCCAAAAGCGCTCAGTAGGTTTGAGGTCATGGAGGAACTCTAGTATTCTGCTCGGAGCCCTGACCTCAACCCTACTGAATGCCTTTGGAATGAATTGGAACATGGTGAGCCAGGTCTTTTAATCCAACATCAGTACCTGCTCTTCACCCTACGAATGAGAAGACCTAATCCCAAAAGGTGTTGAGAAGGTTTGAGGCCCTGGAGGAACTCGGGTGTTCTGCATAGAGCCCTGACCTCAACCCTACTGAGCACCTTTGGGATTAATCGAAAAATCGATGGTGAGCTAGGTCTTCTCATCCAACATCAGTACCTGACCTCACAAAAGGGATACAAATTCCCACAGACACCCTCCAAAATCTTGTGGAAAGTCTTCCCAGAAGAGCGGAAGGTGGTATAGTCACACATTAAACAACTGGAAATGGTTTTGGAATAGTATATCCAACAAGATCATATAGGTGTGATGGCAAGGAGTCCACAAACGTTTAGCCATGGGGCACTTACTGCATATAATGGGTAGCAACGCTATAACATGGATGAGAAATTTTCCACAGCATCGTGGCACCTATTCCTCCTCAACCCTGGATCCAAACGGAAAAATAATATAGACACACCGCCATTTACATGGCAGCATGAACAGTTCCAAAAACAGAAGAAAGAAGTGCTGAGGATTTAATTTTTTAAACTTTTGGAAGTATAGGGAAGGTTCAGAACCCTTGTCAGCAGCAAACTGGTCAACACCGTATTATTAGCCATGGTTCTGGAATGGGATGTTCAACAAGCTCATCTAGGCCCGATGGTCAACTCCATATTATTAGCCATGGTTCTGGAATGGGATGTTCAACAAGCTCATCTAGGCCTAGTCAACTCCATATTATTAGCCATGGTTCTAGAATGGGATGTCCAACAAGCTCACTAGGCCATGGTCAACTTATTATTAGCCATGGTTCTAGAATGGGATGTCCAAAAAAGATGGTCAACTCATATTATTAGCCTAGAATGGGATGTCAACAAACTAGGCCTGATGGTCAACTCCATATTATTAGCCATGGTTCTAGAATGGGATGTCCAACAAGCTCATCTAGGCCTGATGGTCAACTCCATATTATTAGCCATGGTTCTAGAATGGGATGTCCAACAAGCTCATCTAGGCCTGATGGTCAACTCATATTATTAGCCATGGTTCTAGAATGGGATGTCCAACAAGCTCATCTAGGCCTGATGGTCAACTCATTATTATTAGCCATGGTTCTAGAATGGGATGTCCAACAAGCTCATCTAGGCCTGATGGTCAACTCATTATTATTAGCCATGGTTCTAGAATGGGATGTCCAACAAGCTCATCTAGGCCTGATGGTCAACTCCATATTATTAGCCATGGTTCTAGAATGGGATGTCCAACAAGCTCATCTAGGCCTGATGGTCAACTCATATTATTAGCCATGGTTCTAGAATGGGATGTCCAACAAGCTCATCTAGGCCTGATGGTCAACTCATTATTATTAGCCATGGTTCTAGAATGGGATGTCCAAAAAGCTTATCTAGGCCTGATGGTCAGGTCTCCACAATCTTCTGGACGTATAGTGGGGAATGGAAAGGTTTGCTATTTAATGTTTTTCCTCTTCAAATTATTATTTTTCAGCCAACACGCACATGCAGAGGACAACGCACAACATTTGACTTGTCCAGGGAACGGTATGTGCAATGCGACAATTGAATTTGTCTCATTACTATACTAAGACTTTACTGACGGCACAAGAAGTCAACATTATTTTCTTAGACCTCAACAAGTTTCTCAAAAAGATACCAGCTTAGTGAAGATAAATTCCAAGCCTCCAAACCAGCAGATGGTTCATGATCTTACCTTCAGGTCGATACTGTGCTACAATAGTCACTGTCTGTCCAGCCCGTTTCAACGCTGCTGCAGCTTGCTCATGTGTTGCACT